ATGTAATTGTTACTTATGTAAATAGCAGTGTAATGTATTGCATATAATATAGGACACTATTTGTTTTTATTTATTTCATTTACTTATCTATTTATTTACTTAATTTTTTTCTCTTTCTCGGAGAAATTAGCTATATAGCTACTCTTTTACATCAGAGGTGAAATAAAGGTGATATATGTATGTAGGTATGTAAGTATGCATGCATGCATGCATGTATGTATGTATGTATGTTTTTATGTATGTATGTTTGCAGGTATGTAGGTATATATGTATGTAAATACGTGCAACAGTTCGATCCGTTTGCTGGGTTCCAGTAGCTCTTGCCAAAAACGTTTCGTTTCAAATAAAGTATATTTTCATAAGGTCGTAGTTGTAGCAAGTAGGATAAGTATTGTAGGAAATATACAACTTTTTTTAGAGACATGTTTCGGCATGCTTATGCCATCTTCAATCAATGAGTAACTGAACGTGAGTAATTATGTAACAGACGAGTAGATGAATAAAATATTTACAGTATGATGTAATACAAAAGCGGGTACAAATTACAACGTGAAAGCAAACATGAAATTAAAGGTGAGAACTAAAATGCTATAAAAGTGTTATAATGCTGTAATTGTTTGTTAAGTTCAGGTTTGATCTTATTTATATAAAAAGCTTCTTTGAGTTTTAAATCAATTGAGTTGTTGTCAGAATCCAGAATACTAAAGCAAGAGGGGGAGTATTTGTTCTTACAAGAAGGAGACGTGTTAAAATGCTTAAAAATATGCGAGTTTTTTATCGCTTTCCGTGTGCTCCTTTATCCTAGTAGAAAGGTGGCGACTAGTTTCGCAAATATAACGGGAATTAAATCCCGCACAAGGAAACTGATAAACTACCATGGGTTTTAGACCATCAGGAGTACAATCTTTAACACTGAACATGTTTTTAATGAACATGTTTCTCTCAAAATCATTCTTTCAAAATTCTTTCACAATTTTGTAAGAGTTTATAACGTTAACACTCCCTTGTAGAAACTCTCGTGGAGGAACCTGGACCAAACCTTTGGTACTGGGCTGTCTTTAAAGAAATATCTGAAGGATTTGGGGTGAGTTACTTGATTTTCATAGCCCATATTGTAAAAACTTTTCTTAAGTGTACCATCAAATATTACCTTTATCGGTATTAGGTACTCGTATACATAGTTTGTAACATTAAGGCCCACTTATCCCAGAAATCAAGGTAAAAGGTTAAAAACATGATTCATAAAATGATTGAAATGATGGGTAGTTTGCAATACAAGTAAAAGTGAGCAGAAAGATTTTGTAGGAGAAAATTATAAGCCCATTAAAAAACCAGTACATGTAAGTTGATGTACAATAAGTGATCTGAAATTCTTGTTATCCCAAGCCTCTACGAAACTCCAACCGACTATTTCCCATGGATTTGGTCCACACTTAGTCTGTATTATTAGCTATGACAATGTGCATCTTATATGCAAAGAAAATGAAAGAGATTTTATTTATCTTGGGACCTTTAATAATATCAATCAAGAAGTGAGTTAACAACATTTTCGTTTATTTGTCACATTTTTCGAGAGATATTTTTAATACAGCAATAGAGAACTTTAACGTGTTCACACACTTTCATCTAAACAACTGATTTCTTTTTCAGATCGTTTGTGTCAACATTTTCGGCAAATTAGACTTTGACAATTCTTATTTTTATGATGAGCCTGATTAAACGAACTATTTACTCAGTAATTACATAAACCAGGTAACTGATATATTTCCCTCCACATCTGTAATAATTTCAGTATTCTTTTTCCCATCCCCCAATAAAGTCGAACTTCAAATGATTTTCAGATTTAGCAGTTCAGATAACGGGGAGACAATTATAAGTCAGTGACACTCAGAGATATTTATTATTCGAAAGAGGTCAAAGCCTCCATGCATGAACCACTAAGGTTTTTAGTACATATTGCATGAAAAAGAACATACGCTATAAAATTTTGTCACTTGGAGTTCTGTTTCAATAGTGTGATAATTAGACTTGGCTATTTTTAAGAGATCTTTATTCATGTTGAACACCCACTAAATGTATCAGCTCATCTTATAGTAGTCAATATTCACTAGGCACATGTGCACAAAGTCTCGTTTAAGTGCACCTGCAGGTATGTTGTGCACACACCCATCACTTTTGGGGTGAATGTTTATTAATTCAGTAATATGATTCTTTGGTCTCTTGCAGTGGAGTCATCCTTCGACTCAAAGTCAATCGTACTCAGTCTGTGATATTGCTAGCATTAATGACGAACCAAAGAACTGGTTACGAACAGAATATATCTACATCAAAGGTGCTACACGACTCAATATTGAAGTCACCTATGACCTTCGTAACTGCCCCTTAGCTAACGTGATGCCATTCTGCAGAAGTAACTTCACCCTTTATTCTTATCATACGGATCACAAATTAGATTATAATCCAGACCCAACAAAGTTAAAGTTCCAAAAAGAAACTGTCATTGCCCCAGAAACTCCTCTTGCGCCAGCTCAACGCACAACAGACACATTTCATGGGTCAATATTAACAAAAGCAAAGGGAATTTATTTGGCTTTATTAGACCAAGGAGCCTGCTTGACAATAAGAAAGTTTGTTGTGAGATATCGTTTCTGCTCTGAAACGGGCGCTGCTCTCGTTAAATTTCCAAGAACAGTTGCCCCAGCAAATAATATTAATTCAACTAATCATGAAGGAGAATGTACAGATCCTCACTCACTTAAAAGAAACAACCAAAAGATATTTGGCGTGTGCCTCAGTAATGGGGAGTGGAACATCACAAATAGCTCAGCCTGCCTTTGCAGTTATGGCTATGAACTAACCAATGGATCTTCAGACTCTTTTGTATGCAAAGGTTAGTGCTGGAATTAAAACTTGGATTTGCCTCTGAAGATTAGGATCCAAAATAAATATCAAATCATTTAAATGGTTAAAAATTTAAATGACCACCCTGTTTAATTTGTTCATCATTTTGTACTTCTTAGTCATGCTTATGATGATGCCATAGATTCCATCGGTGAACGTAGATAAATGGCTTAGTAAAGAAGACCCTAGAACAAATACGCTTTTTCTGCAAAGTATCTTTTAGCAAAGTAATGTTTCGTTTTGCTTCTTCTAAGTGTTTTTTTTTTCTCGCAGATAGATGAATTTATCGTATCAGGTTCTTCGTTTTTGGGTCTTAGTTTTCAAGTCTTAGTCGCAAGTTTAATATATTTATGTATACATGTTGTTCGATGACCTAAGTGATAGTCATTGTGAAAGTCATCAGCATTCAAGACAAAATAAGTTGTCTTGGTAACAAAGCCTCTAATTATATAATAATGGATAGTGCCAGGGTTATCAAACATGTCTAAGTTTCTGTCACAGACACTAGTCATTTGCATGGCAGGGATCTTTTTGGTCTTGAAAAGCACATCACAGGGTCATTGCACTGATGTGTTCTGAGAAAAAAGGCATGTCAATGATATTAAACATTGTTTCGTTTTAGAGTGTCAAAAGGGCTTCTATAAGGATTCTGTTGGTAGTGAAAAATGTGTTCCTTGTCCTGAAAACTCAGCATCTAATATTGACAGAAATGGATGCATGTGTAACGAAGGTTACTACAGATCATCCATTGTCGCAGATTGTGAGGGTATGTTAATTTTGAATGATCGTCTTGTCCTCATCATTCCAGGGTGATAAAAATTCTAATGCTGAGAGAGGTTGTCTCATAGCATTTATCGAAGGTTGTCTCATAGATTTTATCGAAGGGACTAACTCGTTCATGCTTAAATATCGATCAAGATGTGCAATTGTGATAAAGCAACCTACAGGTATCATGCCTGCAAATATCACAAAGAAACTGGACTAGTGCCACGAAGTTAATGACTTGTCTGGGGACTTGCTACTCGTAAAAATCGTATAAAGTACCCCCTCTTGTTAGAAAATTATTCCTAGATGAATCTTGTAGAAGCCCACTAAGAGCTGGAAGAGGCTCGCCCTGAAGACTTGCCGGAGAAACCAGCCTTCTTTGATGCTATTTGCAATATAATGAAATCATAACCCATTAACAATTTTCTTGTATAACCTGTAAAATGTTTGAACCACTTAGCAAAGATTGTGGTACCTTTGTTCCTATTTAGATTTTTGCTAATGGTATTTGTTTTCATACGGAAAATGAAATTTAAGTCATGATATGCTAAGAATTCTTCAAAATATCATCAAATCTACGTTCATTCGTGTCTTATTGTAGTTTCTTTTACTCTACATGTGCAGTCTTTGTAAAGGTAATTAACATAACTATGGTCATTACCAGTGAAAGTTGCACCGATGAAAAATACGACGAATCCTCATTACTGGCGAGAGTCGAAGAAGTGGTAAATATTTTTGTTTAGAGTAGTATTTCCTTAGCCATTTATTTATATTTTTATTACTACTACTTCTGCTGTTGCGCTATACACCTTTGCCATAATGGCGGAAAAAGTGATGAAGGTCTGAGACTGGTTATGAATAATTTCACGAAAGCGAGGCCACCCTGGGCAACACATGGCGACGCAAATACAAACTCTCACAGTACCTCGAGCTTTTTAACCTAAAATGACATTCCTGGAGCTTCCTTATGAGATAGAAATCTCTCACAATTCAATACTGAGGACTTGAGACTATGGTTGAAGGGCAGAGGTGACCCAGCGAAAGCTTTAAAGACAAAAGCAGAGCTTGTGAAAAGGTTAGTTTCGAGCACGAGATGCGTACTTCGAGGTGTTTTTATTGCTTGAGAAAATTGTCAATTGTGATTACTTACACTTAAATTGACCTAATTTCTTATACTTTAGGGCCCTTTAATACATCAAGAGCGGAAAGGATAAAAAAATAATTGATCCTGATCCCAAAAATCTTTATTCTAAACGAAAACAACCACGCTCGGCAAACAACACAAGTTCACACTCCACCGCTAAACGACATGTTCCCGTCAAGTTCCCTGAATCTAGTATGTGGAGCTACTCACTTCAGAAGATGCCTCTGTTTACCAGAGCGGAATTAAACAATCATATAACACGTTCTGGGGTCTAGATAATTGTAT